CTCTCTCTCTCTCTCTCTCTCTCTCTCTCTCTCTCTCTCTCTCTCTCTCTCTCTCTCTCTCTCTCTCTCTCTCTCTCTCTCTCTCTCTCTCTCTCTCTCTCTCTCTCTCTCCTCTATGACGACATATTTTACATATAATTTTTCTTGAACAATTATTATTGTACATCTAATTATATTCCATTGTTTGAATACGATTATTTTTATTATTTAAAAATGAAATATGCTATATGAGTTATAGAATATTTATTATATTAAATAAATAGATCTACTTCGAACGTTTTAAGTCTGTATATGTAAAAGATGTACGATTTTAGATGATTTTTTAGGTGAGCAAAGCTCGAAATCAAAGAGGTATTATTTATTGTTTCAGTTCATCAATCACCACCAAATTCTAACGCGTCCACTGGCGATTTCGGCCGACACATCAATTTACATCTGACCTATTCGTTTCAACATCAACAGCAACACCATCACGGCCAACAACCTCCGCAATTAAGTCCGGCTACGTGCAAAAGTCCCACACCCACGATTTATCATAATCATGGTGAGAATATTACTCGTTTCTACTTGCACGTATGGAAAATTCTTCATTTCTTGATTCATGATAAATTTAGATTAAAATTATAATCGGTTTACATTATAATCAAGTACGAGAGGACGAAATATAATTATTTTGAAAAAGGTCTATTTCTCTATCGAAAGAGCATCAATTTTGTCCTCAGGCTCGGAACAATCGATGGACGAACTCTCGCAAGACTCGATGATGTTGTCGATGCCGAACGAGGTTTAATCGCCGTTGGACCACCACTCCTCTTTTTGTAAATATTTTCTTTATTTAGTTTAAGAAGATTTTTCCAATTTCGTCGAATCTTTCTCGATGAATACGAATTCATTTCATTTCGTGTCTGTTTCCTCGATCGAAAATGGATAAATAATTCGTCGCGGTTAGAAGAAGAGAGAAATTTTGAAATTCTCGAAATCCAGATAAATGATAATCGATGTACGATTTCATTTGATTTTTCCATTCATAAAGTTTTGAAATTTTTTAGAATTTTGAGAAAATTTCCGATTCCTAGTTTGGATCTAAGAATCAGATTTCGATTTATCCGTCAAGATTTAGATAGAATTTTATTATAAAAAAGGAATAAGAGAGTTTTCCTCGATTTATTTTACTTTTCTTTTTTCAATTTTCATTGGTGAATGTTGAAAAAGGTTGTTTGGATTCCAAAATATTTTTTACCGTCGTGTTTTTAAAACACGCTTATCGATTATTTTATTTCTTTAATACTTACTTTGAAATGACATATGAAAATCACAGAAGAAAAATTTAAACAAGTTCAAATAAATCCATTTTCCATTTTTTACATCACGCTTTTAATTAAAAAAAAGTTTAATATTTCGACATTGTAAAAATTTAACGATGTTACAAATTAAAAATTTTAAGGCTGATTATTTTTCGATCATCTTCGATTAATTGGATCAGTCGAATGTAATTGAAACACGATTCGTTCTAACTTCGGACATTCTCGGTTATTTTCGAGAATCAAGATCCAATAGCCACCGATCCTCTTTTTCGGCGATATTACCGATATTAATCGAAAATAACCGAATCATGATTAGCTCTATTATAAATTAAATAAAACTCGTATATGTTCGATGAAATATTACGATGAAAGATATTCTATTGTAAATATCGAAAGAAATTACCAAGTTGTTCGTCTGTGATCTTCATATTTATTCAATTAATTAATCCTTTGAAGCGTGTTCTTGAAACAAAATATATTTATACAAAATATATTTATTTTGATTTGTAAGTTAAAGAATATTCCATGTTTCGATCAAAGGAAGGAAAATTAATTAAACAGACGTCATTTAAAAAAAAAAAAATGCTTAAATTTGTAACATTGTTTCAAAGGGTTAAATATTTCGATACTTTTAGACAGCATCCGAAATAAAACGTCGTTGATCCGAATATCTCGTATAATTTAGAACGAAATCCGCCCAAATCGTTGTTAACTTATTAAGATAACCAGCAAAACGTAGAGAAGCCAATTTTTAAGACTGGATGGCAGCACAGCTCTCTCGCACTGGATGTTAAGCTTATTATAAATAAGTGAATACAATTAAACGTTCCATATAATGCATAAAACAAATCTGTGTGCACCAATATGGAAATGAATCACGAATATTTCCGTAGCGATTGATAGGTGATGATCAACTCGTTATTAACTTCAAGTTTTAATCCTTTCCATACTTTCTTTTCGAATTAATTAATTTCTAATTTTATCAAACTATTTTTTTAAACATCAAAGAAACAAAACTCAAAGAATATGATGATTGGATCAGAAATAACCTATAATAGTAAATTCAATGGAAAGGGTTAATCACGAGTACTAAAAAGCTCGATCCAAATCCATCGATACACGAACTTCGATTATACGAATAAGGAATATCCTTTACGATTCTAAAGAAGTGATAAATGTGATTTTCCTTCTTTTCGAGAGAATGATACATACGATAGTTGTCCTCACTTTGATTGATCCACGGAATTCCCTGATATAATCAGGTTATCGTTTTAATAAAACGTATAAGATCGAATATACAATTAGCATAAACGATAAAACTCGAAAGACGTTCGGTGTCCCCGAAAATTGCCGAAGCCTCGTTTCGTGTCGACTCGGGTATATTCGGTATATCTCGGGAAACATCAGAAAGCAATGTTCCGAATGAAAGTATCTTTTACAGTGTTTAGCTAATTAATTGTGTAATCGTAAAAAGAATCATTATTTAATATACTTAATGTACTGTGATGTAAATATTGTAAACTAAGTATATATACAATATAAAATGTTGCACATATTTATTTACTTTCACGTTGATTTTCCCAACCCAAAGAAAAAATATTAATATCGTTATATTATAAAGAATTTTTTTTTATAATTTAGATACAGTGACATTTATTTTATTTTACATATTATATAGATATAGATATTTTTTCACTATTATGTAACTTTTCTATGATTTTACAAATTTCAATTTTCATAATACGATATAGCATGATATATGTAATATAAGGAAAGCATGAATATATTTTTATAGGTTATAATACGGATTGAATATATTTAGTTGTATTTTAGAAATATTCATAAAAGTTCAAAAGCACGAGTAATCTTTTTCTAGATTTACGAAAAGTTTTTAAGAAACATAGAGAAATGTAGGATCGAAAATAATAACTAATGATATTAACAGTAAAAGACATTTTTATTATTAACAGTACGGTTTACAATATTGCGCTATGAGTGTACAATATAGGGAATGATATCAAATACTCATGCACGATTCTTTTTGAAATTTATATACAAAAGCTACGGGATATGTATATGTACAATTTTATCTTAAAAATAAAATACTTTATAAGAGATGTGTAAGAATTTAATGAATACTAATGAGTGTAACAATTTTTATCGCTAAAAATGAGACTTATCGTTATTTAATCATACATTCAATATGCACTATGATTTTAAAAATTAAAAATAATAAAGAATAAAAATTATTAATAGAATTATAAAAAAAAGTTGAAATTATGCAAATGTTAATTTGAATAATTATTTGACCTTGAGAAATAAAATTTATAAAATAATTTCTAATTGAAAAATATGAGATTTCTATGAACACATTTAAAATTGTAATTCTAGTTTTTGTTTGATTGCACTTTTGACGAATAAAACACCTGTTAAAACGAAAAAAAATCATAATGAGAAATCAGTCGTGGGAGTTAATCGAAATGAAATAAATAATTAATTCATTTCGTTTATTTCTATCCTAGAATCCTCATCATAGAATCCTATCCTATCCGTAGTATCACTTTTACTTTTTTTTACTCGTTTTAAACAATTTGTTTTTGGTATGTACAAAAAATAGAGAACATTGAAGAATTCAAAGAGGATTAATATTTCAATTTTTCATAAAGTTCCATCATAGATTCATTATAGATTTTATCTTCTTTTTTTTGCCAAATTTACATCATATTTAAATTTAAAAAAATCATCGTGTACTAAAATAATTATAAAAATATCAAAAATTTCCACTAATTAATTAAACTATAAATCAAACTATCCTCTTTGAAATCCACGAATTTTATTATTCTTTTTTTGTTCTCTGAATTTTACGAGATCAATGTTTTAAAAGATTTTAATAGGAAACTTTTTATCTTAAAAAAATCAGAAATGTCTTTGAAACTTGGAAAATTTGAATTTAATCACCGGTTTCAATTCTTGGACGAAGTTTTACCCTGTTTGATGACAGAACTGAGCTTGAAGGTGATTGGGTGTTGTTGGGGTTAGAGGTGTCAGAGGGGTGAGAGGTGTCAATGGACTGCCAGGACTTTCACTTCCTGCACTACCACCCTGATATCCTCCCAAATAGGCGCCTACCATGTTCACGCTGGTTGAGTATAATTCTACTGGATGATGTTGCATCGGTGGTGAATGGTGCACTAAATTTTTGGATGCAAGTATTAAAATAAAATTTCTAATGATTTAATTTATTAAACATTTTATTTTTTTTTTTCAAGAAAATAATATCTTTTATATTCTCTATTTCAATATTACCATCATATTTTGATTATTTTAATTATTTTATTTTACCCCAAATTGCATTGTATTAAATATTTTGTGAAAAATTCTTATTACATTTTATATTACTTGTCATGAAAAGAATTTTTGCAAAAGCAACAAAATTACAGTTTAATTCAATTCAAATTCATTCCAAATATATTGATCATTTTTTGCGACATAACACAAGATAAATTCAAAGTATAACGAAAAGATCTACTCACTTTGAGTTTTGATTTTCCCACTGTGCTTCTTCTGCCTGGCTCTCGAGTTCTGAAACCATACTTGCGTCACACGTTTGCTCAACCCCGTAACATGCGCTATTCTCTCGAGATCTTGGCCATCAGGATTACTGTCTAACTGAAAGTTCGCTTGCAAAACCGATAGTTGCTCCTCCGTAAAAGTCGTCCTGACCCTCTTCGTCTTGCTACCTTTCCCACCGTGTTCAGAGTCGCAATCCTCCGAGGACGAGGTATTGTTTCCCTCCACCACGTCGAGATAGTGAGCCTTGCAGAGCAATCTGGCGTCCAGGAGGGCGAACTGCTCTCCGGTGGAGAGTTGACGGGAACATGCGTCGCAAGCGAAACAAGCCAAATGATACACCCTTTCCCTGGCCCTTCTCACCCAGTCGCCGGCGCCCACGCTTCGACCGCATTTCGCGCATTTGGCACCGAACGTTCTGAAAATTGAGAGAAAATTGATATTTAAAGATCTAAAAAAGAAGAGTTAAATTACAGAAATATGAATTCTTCGCAATTTATATTTTCAAAATGAAAATCTTGTTTTCATCTATATCTATCAGTATTCCACTATTTCGTAAGAAAATTACAATTAAATTGATACGTGATTTGAGGAAAATTATTAAATGCATTAAATTACTACTCGAGCGACAAGTAGGCTTGCAAAAAGCAAGAATCCAACGAGGAAAGGGAACGAGTTTCAAGGTGCTATTTTGGTCAAGATTGCAGGTTCATTCAGGACCTCCGTGCACGAGAATCCGACGGTCCTGTCCTCATTAACATACTACTCCGCCACTCGCTTGTCCTTTGGAAGCGCGTCACAAGCGCGAGCCATGGTTTAAGGGTCGCTCGACCTCTCGCGATTTGGTCGGTAGATTACGTCGAGATTATCTCGACGTCTCAGTCCCAAGCCTTCTCTCGCCCTACAAATGACTCGAGACCCTTTGAATTTTAGCCGCCTCGACACCAGGAAACGGATCACACATTTACGACTGTTGCTTTCGAATATACATCGAATGATAGATATACACGAGCGATTTCTGGCTACCAATTACACGAAAATCGATATATCTTTTAATGAGATCTTATACGAGATCTTATAGAATCTACTAAAGATAATAAAGATTAGTGTAAGCGATTGATATTTTGCAAAATATTCAATATTTTATCTCTTGAAAGAAATTAATTAATATTTATATACGTTTCTAATAATTTATCTTTAATGTAAACTTGCAAAAATATCACTTGATACTAAAAGAGATTTTTTTTTTTATAAATAGTTAATTCCACTACTAGTTGATAAATTATTTGAATATAAATAATTTGTTCATCGCTAAGAATTTAACTAAGAATTTTGCTACAACAAGATGAAGAATACGAGATGTATAAGCGGTAGATGAAAACGAAGAATGGATCGAAGGATTGGTTATTGTATGGAAAAATATGGTAAGCTACGGAAGGATTAGTTGGTTCACGAATTGCACCGTCACCGTCGCATCCAAGATATTTTTGGGCATTATTGGTTATGGTGATCGTGCACAGGGCACTCCTAGAAGCGCATGCGCGTTCCTAACGAAACATCGAGACCTGACTTTGCATATCATTTCTCACTTCTCGAAATTCTATTCACGAATGCTACAAATTCTTGAATGTAGCATTTTTTTATTGCTTTATAAAACTTGAAATTGTTCCAACAAATCGAAAATTTCTAATTAAAACTTATCGTATCACGATATATTTTAAATAACACGAACTTTAAAGATTAGGTTAGATAGCATACCGTCTCCACGATATCTTCACAAATTATTTTCTTAACCACACCAATTGAGTCATTTAAGATATTTTGCGATCCGGGACACCACTATTTTTCTTTCAGAATCAGCAAAGTGCAAAAAATAACGCGATTTTTCAATTCTATGTTCCTCATAGAACTCGTGAACGTTCGACGAAGTGTCATTAGCATAAATAGTGGCGCCACCCTTTTCTTTTTTGCCGCGTTTACGTCGGATCAAGCGTGGGCAAAAGAGAGGGGACAGGGGAGAAGAGTGGAAGAGCACCGTGTAACCAGACCAGGAGAACTGGTATTGGGTATCTATAAATCTTCAGGGCCGTACATCGGCTACCAAACGACCCCGCCCTAATTTATTCATTTGTTCTTCCACATAGGCGGGCCCTATAAGTCAACAGGGGATTAAGTCGGCCGCTATCCGACCTCTGCACAGTAGAGAATTCATGATCCCTCCTTACACCTCCGTTCTTCGTTCAAATGCATTCGATTCTCGCACTACGTAGCCAGATCACGATCGCTATCTTCGATATCATTGGAGATGTAAATGGATCGCGTGATAAATTATAAAATTCGCAATATTTTACGATTGAATTATCGTTCTCCATAAAAGTACGATATTCGTGTGCATGATGACATTTACGGTGAAAGAGTATTCTGAATATAAAAGAAAAGTAGAAATTTTTTTATTATCTGAGAATTGACATGTTTTGAAAAGTAAATTTTTCAATTGAAAGAATATTATAAGAAGATTAAGAGAAGAATATTAGAAAATTTGTATAACTTTAAAAAATATTTAGAGACTTAAATTTTCTTAATTTTTCAGGTATAAAGAATATATATTAGCAACAATAAATTTAAAAGAATCGTCGAAGACAATTAATTCATCGTTATTTGACAGTTTATAATGAGAATTATATAGTAATAAAATTAAATAAACGTAATTACATTTAATTAGTTCTAACCGCAGGGTCTTTATAGTTTATCAAGAATTTTTACGAGAAGTTGTATATTTATGAAGATTAGAAATGGTAAGTGACCTGATATAACAATAAATTATATTCGTAAAAAAAATTTGTCAAAACAATCGTGTCTTTTTATTAATTCCAATATCAATTTATCATATCTTCGTAATTTCAGATTCGTATACTTGAAATTATCGACCCCCCTGGTATGTTTAGGAAATCGTCGAAATCACGACAGTAGGCAGAAAATGTAGATTACCTCCGGGTCGCGGAGCATCGTGCATCTCGAATTCGATACCTTTCTCAGGAGAGTGTAGGCATTCGCATTTAAGTGCCATTAAGGCAGAAACGATAAGGTCGTGATTAAAGCAGCGGCCGATTCGGTGTCGCGGAGCATCGGCCACACTGAATTAAGAGAACCGGAATTCCGACGCTCTGGCATCGCTAATAGAGCGATTTCTGCTTCATTCCGCTCGTTTGAAATTCGTGTTCTTTGTCGCACTCTATTTTTTTTTCTTTTTTCTGATTCATGAAAAAACGATACCCGCGAAAGAGATCGCAGCAAAAGCAGAGAATAATGGCGAATATTTATTAATTTAAAAGATTAATCTAAAAGACACCCGTTCATCGGTTGAAAAGCACCGACACACGAGGGTGGACCAAAGAGAAAGAATCACAGCTGGTTTCGAACTGCCTTACGAGGCGAATTCCTTAGTCCAACACTGGCAGTCTTTGCTCGTGGCAATGGCAACCACGCACACATGAATCGATATTTTCGTGATCTTTAATAAAAAGTATCGAAAATATTAAGATAAACGAATAAAATTTTTATTATAAAAGAAAACAAACAAAAATCGTGTATTTAAGAATTCACTATCGATGCCGCATTAATTGCAATTTTTAATTATAATTAAATTTGTCTCAATTTAACATTATTTGCTGTCCAATTATTAAAAGAAACGAAAGAAAAAAATCTAAATTTGACAAATTTATACAAGAACAAAACTATATGAACTTAATACTTCGCAATAATTAGGTTAAATTATTAGACTACAGGAACCTATAGATTTGAAAATATTCGCGAATATTCGAGAGCTTCGATCAAAAATATATTTTTTTTACCTTATGGGCTTGTAATGAGAAAATGTCAGTTGAGATGTCCTTTATTCGTTTCCAACCTCACGTCACAAGGTGACTCGCAGCTCACGCGCGAATATGCGAGGTTACACGTATAAATCCGAAGATGTGAATAGCCGACTGTGAAGTGCGTGAGGTCCAAAGAAGAAAAAAAAACGAGAATTAAAAAAAGACTACATCGCAAGACATTAATCACCCACTGGCGAACATCTCGAATATGCGACTAAGAATATCTGTTCGTATATCGAGAATATCTGTACCCACGTGACAACCACGTGACTCGAATAGAGTCTTTTTTTAACAAAATAATCGTAATCACGTTTTTCAATTTTGATCTGTTTAAATCTGCCAATTATTATTTTTAAAAGTAGATAGATTTTTTTTGATACGATGATTTATTTAACAAATTATAAAGAGGAAGTATGAAAAAAATCTTACGTGTCTATGGGTCGAATTAAAGATAGATCGAAAGTCGAATATGATAGATCGAAACTTTGCGAAATCTTGAAAGCCAGAATCCTTTTTAAGGAATATCTATTTCATCAAAAATCAATTCAGATTTATGAATAATTATAACAATATAATAATTTTTGCATGCAAAAAATTTTTTCCCTTTCTATTTCTAGATTAAAATCGCTAGATGGCGATTCATATCATTTCATGTTTTACCCTAGAACGAATTGGCAATCGTGGTTATAAGAATTAATTGTGATACATTCCTATCAAGTGGATTCTATAACCTTAATTTATGCAATACTTTTTACTTTTAAATATTCTATATTGTAATTTAAATACATAAATATGAACGAATGAACGATTTATACCTTTGATGATAGAAAAGGTAAGCCACTGAAACCATTTTGGCGAGTCACGAAATCGTAATTCAGAACGATATCCTTTAAAATCTATCCCAAAGGACTTGTACGAATCTTTTGAAACTAGCTTGCTCGACAGGGTGCCTGAGATATCTATTATTCCAATGTCAGCGTACTGTACAACAACTGTTCCGTAAGTTGAACAAATGATCGTTTCTTCCAGGAGCTCTCGAATAGTAGTCGAAAAATGTCCTCTTAAGCTTGGCTTTGCTCGCCGATTACGTATCAGTGGGGTGTCTCTATCGATTTCGATCAGTTATGAATATTATTGGATTCATCGATAATACTTCGTGTTGCTTCTGGATCACGAGACGACTGTCCCTCTTAGTCGATTATGGATCGCAACTGAATGATGGAACGCTTTGGTTTGATGAACGAGGTATAGTCAAATTTTTCTTAGTAGTTCGAATCTCGAGAAAATGTAAAATGTTTAAATAAAACAATTTAAAAATTAAATAAAAAATACAATGATTCTAAACAAAATTAATATTTTTTCAATTTAAGGTTAGATTCAGCTATACGAATGAAAGAAAGTAAATATTGTGATGGAAAATTGATTTAAGAATATTTTATGCTGCACAAAACTTGTTTATTTAAGCAAATGAAAAAGGGAAAAAATGTTACTTAAATCCACAGATTTAATAAAAAAAAAAAAGAAACAAATTATACCATTTGATAAACAGATTTTTCAATGATTGCACTTATGATTAGAATCAATTAAATATATGGATTACAAATTTGAACTAATCTAGCCAAATTTGGATAAAAAAAGATGAACATCTTCAATTAATTATTTTGCACATGCGGATTTGAATGTTTATAAAACAAAATATCTCAAATGAATACAAATAAATTTAATTCTCTATATTGCCATGTGCAAAAAGAATATATATATATATTATATTGATTCCTTTTTCAAATTTTAAATTAGAATTACATTCTTATATTTAATTACTATAGCATTTTTACTTTTTTATATTAAATAGTTCATTTATTGCACCTTAATAATTTTTCATTAGTAAGTATTTAAATCAACATAAAAAATTGAAATTCAATTATAATTTGAATTCTTATAATTAAATAAAAATCAAAAATTATAGAGGATTAATCAATTTTATACAAAAAGGCAATATAAATCACGAGACTCTAAGAACACAAGTTTCCTAATAATCTAAGAAATAACTAAGATTAAAGCATAAGAAATAAATAGAAACCAGTCTTACAAACCGTACGTACAAGGCGTAGTCGTGTCTGCAATAAAGCCGCATCCCTCGAAGGAAACAGGAGTGCTGATCGTGCAGTGGTCTAGCACAGGCGCAACATTTCAGACATCTGGAATGCCAGGTACGACCCCCTACACAGAGGACAGTGCGCTCGCGTACGCTTTCCCCGCAACCACCACAGTCCATTTCCATTCCATCGTGACTGTCGTTAGTCGTAATATTGGCACCGGATTTTTTAATATTTGCCACATTATTATTGTTTGTGTTGATGTTGTTGTTGTTATTATTTGAACAAAGGATGCCGTCCGTGCACTCTGTCTCTGTTTCGATCTCGGTCTGAAATAGATTATTGTTATTTATTAATTTATTGTTTTAGGAAATTTATATTAAGATCTTCATAGTTTTTTTAAATTTTGCATTATGCATGAAATATTCTAGTGTGAAAAATTTAAATTATTAAAGTTAAGAAAAATAAATAAATATGGTATGATTCAAGATTTAATTATTAGAAATTTTTGAGATTTGAAAATTTAGGAATAGCAATCTTAAATTTACTGTTATGAATTTTTTAAATTTATCAATAATGCTATAATTAAAACATTTGACATTTTAATTTGTCTCTTTGCCATTTATTTATAAAGAATTTACATAAAGAATAAGTATATAAAACTGATATTCTCAACAAATTTATGAAAAATTCATAAAAATTCATTAATAATCTAAGAAATAACTAAGATTAAAGCATAAGAAATAAATAGAAACCAGTCTTACAAACCGTACGTACAAGGCGTAGTCGTGTCTGCAATAAAGCCGCATCCCTCGAAGGAAACAGGAGTGCTGATCGTGCAGTGGTCTAGCACAGGCGCAACATTTCAGACATCTGGAATGCCAGGTACGACCCCCTACACAGAGGACAGTGCGCTCGCGTACGCTTTCCCCGCAACCACCACAGTCCATTTCCATTCCATCGTGACTGTCGTTAGTCGTAATATTGGCACCGGATTTTTTAATATTTGCCACATTATTATTGTTTGTGTTGATGTTGTTGTTGTTATTATTTGAACAAAGGATGCCGTCCGTGCACTCTGTCTCTGTTTCGATCTCGGTCTGAAATAGATTATTGTTATTTATTAATTTATTGTTTTAGGAAATTTATATTAAGATCTTCATAGTTTTTTTAAATTTTGCATTATGCATGAAATATTCTAGTGTGAAAAATTTAAATTATTAAAGTTAAGAAAAATAAATAAATATGGTATGATTCAAGATTTAATTATTAGAAATTTTTGAGATTTGAAAATTTAGGAATAGCAATCTTAAATTTACTGTTATGAATTTTTTAAATTTATCAATAATGCTATAATTAAAACATTTGACATTTTAATTTGTCTCTTTGCCATTTATTTATAAAGAATTTACATAAAGAATAAGTATATAAAACTGATATTCTCAACAAATTTATGAAAAATTCATAAAAATTCATTGTTTAAAAATTCATTTGTTTAAAATGTTAAAATAGAAGTAGAATGTACATAGATAGTATTAACAAAAAATTTCGAAAATATAAGAAATAACTCTCTTAGACAACTTAATTAACAAAGCAACCAACCCAGAGGAACCAGTTTTGCCTACAATACTATTCTCTGCTAATTTTTCATCTTCTCACGTGGTTTACAACCTACGTGCATACATCCATTATCTTCCACTCTCTTAAGTTCTGCAAACATCTTGTACAAACCAACACAAACACAATTCCTTCAATAAACCTCTCAAACAGCTGCTACAAGTCACTGCACAGTGTCATCGTGCAATTTACCACCACGGCCATGTTATATCAAGTTATTATACGAATTGTGAAAAAGAACACCATCCACAGTATTAACGTTATTAGAAGCGAGGATTTGTTGACCAGTGAACCAGCATGCTCGATCGATTCATAAAAATGTCAACTTGTACGAGCAAAGTCTGCGCTATATTTCATACAAGTAAATTTGAATTTTCTATGATCTAATAAAAATTATACAATCACCTTATGTGACTATCATATAACGATGATAGCATATCATTGATACAAAGTGTTCGCAAAACCATCGAAAATATCGAATTCTTATCATTTATTCCTAAATAATATTTTTATAAAAAGAGATATGCAAGACTTAGTCGTGAGAAATATCATTTTATACCATGCATTCACGTTAGACTGTGTAACCATAAATTTCTCGTATATAGGAATCAAAATTTTTTCATCTGATTTCATAGTTATGACATGCAACGCACTACGACCGTTTCCGGGTATGGAATATACGGAAAGGTTGGCTGCGGGCTCCAAATCTCAATTAATACTCGGCAAAGTGAAATAATAAACGAGCGGACGGCCGCCGGCTGATAAATGATGCCGCTCTGGGCATGATCCCTCCTCGACCAGCGGCTTGCACCAATGTTCACGATTCGCATGACTACGCACACATCGTGCATCGAATGTGCGTGCACGCGAAACGACCTTTAGGAGAGGCGCAAATTTGTTCATTGTGGGCCTCTTGAGATTTAAGCGACAGACACGCCCCTAGGGGCCATCCATAGAGCTTCCTTTTAATTGAACGCGTAACGTGGTAGAAATTTTACAAATTTCGATATTGGTTTCTTTCATTTGAGATTTTTAATCTGAGGTGTTGAAAAATATGAATAAATAATAAATATAAAATATTTTATCGCTATGCATATTTTTTAAATTATTTTTGTTGAAAGTTGTAAGAATGGTGAATCTAGAAAATTTTTATCTTGAAATAAAATTTTGTTATTTTTTTATAGATATTATTATATTAAAGTGCAGAAAATATTTTTTAAAAGAATTGTAAATTTATTTTTTGCAGGTTTTGTACGACTTATTAAGTAATTAAGATATCTCTACTGATCCTTAGATCAGTAAAGTCTCTTTTAGAAGTTGAAAATGTATGTTTTCTATGCCATTATTTAAATTTTTAAAATTAAAATAATCATAACAATATTATGAACATCATACGTTAATAATATCTGAAATAAGAACTTCAGGAAAAATTTCAAAAATAATTTACGATTCAATAAACTATCTGAAACTATTGCTTCAAAACTAAATTTGAAACGGATCTATGAATGGGCCATGCTCAAGAAACTAATTGATTGAATGCACGAGAGATATCCCGGCCTTCTCTCGTTTAATTAATTAGGCTCGGTCGTGAGAGTAATCGAGGGATCTCTTCTCATCGCCAACTATAAACCGGAAAGAGGTTTCTATAAAATTAACCGCGCAAAAACTTTGAATATCGTCCGTAAAATTTACAAACTATATATTAATTTACATGAATATAATATTGGGAAAGATTTATCGTTCGATAATTGGATTGTTAAATTCGAAAAATTTGTTAATAATCTTAAATCGAACGATCTGGCAAAATTATCAAGTAGAATAAATCATAACTCTAAAGTATAAAAAATAAATAAATAAATAAAAATCAAAGAGTCAAAAAATATGTTTTACGAACATGTTTAAAAAAAATCAAAACTTCTTTCTATTTCAAAAACTAATTTTATAGAATCTATCTTTTGCACATTAAATTTTAAAAAAAATTAAAGGCATTATATTTATAATAACACTAAATTTCTCAATAAAATTTAATATTTCAAAAAAAAGAATTGTATTCTTTCATAAAAGCATAATCATCGATTAAAATTCATCCTTCTAATTGTCGTTCATTAGTTAAGAACTGCTTAAAACAACCTGTGTAAGTAAGTACTAGAGTTTCGACTGCGATTAATTGACAATCGAACGACACGATGCAGCTGATTTGTCTTTTTTCTTTCTTTCTTTCTTTCTTTCAGTCCAGTCTCTCTGTTGTTAGAGGAACAGAGAATAACAGGGAGATAAAAACAACGAAGGGAAAGAGAGAAAGTCATTGTGAGTGCGTAGAGAGATAAACGCAAAGATAACGCGTATCTGATCTGTATGCAATTTTTTTCTTATCGGTGTGTCATGACACACGTGCTCGTACTTATATACCTGTGCGTTATACAAGTGCGTATATGTAAGTATAGGTTATGTCGGACTGTTTTACCTCGATAATATTAATTGGTACACGAGTAATTCACAAAGGTTATTGTTCGACCCAGCATGCAATCAATGAGTTAATTACATTATGTCTTTCGATTTATTCTATGTTCATATATTTATTTCTTTTTTAACTGGACAACAGATACATGAAACTTGTCTTGTGTCACGTTTTAATCAAAATGTATACAGATATAATGAAACACAATAATATAATTTCAGAAAATAGCAACCAGAGACCTCTTGCGTATTAATTTAAAACTAATAATATTAATAATTTAACAAGTTATACAAAATTACTCAAAAATAGGTTAAAAAGTCAGAAATCAGAAACTAAATCAAAAAAAAAAACAAGAATTTCAAACGAAAATCGAATCAATTTCGATCGAGAACAATTCTTCCTAATAATTCTTTTATTTCAACCAAAATGAAATGTTTCAGTTATTTCGTTAGAATAGCAAAAATTATACATGATGCGCGACACGTTGTATTAATCGACGGTGTTATGTCGAAGAGAAACGTGGTTCGATTTCTGAAGGAAGATCGAAATGCCAGAAGGTATAAATCACAGGTGGGAAGTTCAACTTTGCCTTCGGCAGATCATAAATCAATGACCGTCCAGTTAAACGTGAAATGATTACTGGCCGACGGTAAAAAGAGTGACAAGGAGAGAAAGGATAGAGAGAGGAAAATGAAACGAAAAAAGACAAGACTATGTAGTATCTTCAAAATTGGCTGTCGTCGACGTTGTCTTTCTCGAGGTGTCGGTTGTGCAACGGTTGTCTTTTTTTCGACGATTCTTTTCTTCACGGTTCTTGAAATAATTCGTGTACAGAAATTCACGCGTTCAATGGTCGCGTATTTAAGTCAACAATGATGGATCGAACAGAGATTTTATAATTTGATGGTAGAATATGATAAAATTTTCTTCATTGAACAGATATTTTATTATACATAATATAGTAATTATAATATGTAAAAAATAAATCGAATAAAATTTTTTCAGTTCTGTTTTTAATTTTCTCATTCATTGAAAATTGAATATTCAATCAATTATTCAGGCATTCATGCAATAGTTAATTTAAAAAAAAAGTTAGTTAAAGAAAAAAATTTATTCCAATTTATTTCATAAATCATTTTTTTTCTGATTGTATTTCTGATTCATATCTGTTTTTTTTTCATATGTTCAATATTCTTTATTTTTTATTTTTTTGTTTTCTTTTCAATTTTATTATTCCACATATTTATTAAAAAAATGTTCATATATAGCTGCTGATTTATTGCAACGTTAAAATATTACTGTCTCGAGTCACTTATTTGCAGCTATTAAACCTAAATCGTATTTATCATAAATTTCTATTATCACGTAATAAACTACACGACGAAAATATTGAATAATACCTACTTGAATGTTGCATTATATAATTGCAGTTCATTAATTCCATTGTTTGAGAACGAGACATTTTCACGCTTCGTCTGTCAAATTTAATCTCGAAAGTGTGTATTCAATACGATGATAAAGATTATACAAATATTTATTCAATTTTCCCATATTGTTGATTCCTGATTATTTGTCAATCGTAATTCTCCACAATCTTATTGTTTCAAGCGTTAAACCATAAAATAGGTATTCAAATAATAAAGTAGAACATTCATTATCCTAATATTTATCTTGTTAATTGAATAAACAATATGTTCTAACAGATTCTATTTTTAAATTACATATTAATTAATTACTAATTAATTTTAATTAAATATTTTTTATTAAATATACTTATATGTAATGCTTTCATTATAAAAATTTTTCTATGAAATTAAAAAAAAAGTTAGAATTTTAAAATTCTCATAGATTTTTCCATAATAAATCTATCGAAATAAGTTATTATTGATATCTGTATTCATTAATTTCGAATCTAAAACATTCAATAATTGAGTATAAAATTAACAATAATAATTAATCAAATATAATAATTTTAGTATTTAAAAATTAAAATTATTATTCGTTTAAATATTATTAATCATTTTAAAATAAATGATCGTAAAAAATATGAATATCAAAGAATTTTTTAATTATACAATGATTACACAACAAAAGAATCGGTGTCAAAAGAAAGAATAGAATGAAACATTTCAATGATCATAGGATTTTGTAACGGGATTCCTGGTTTACGATCTACAAAAGGCGAGTCCACAAAATTCAGGAGGTAATTTACAACAGGTCAAAATTCGTCGTTTCTCTTCAAATATCCTGAGAAACTGTTTCGAAAGAAAAAAGAAGGATGCTTCTTTCCGAAAAATTCGACTAATAATTCGATTAATAATTAATCTAATAGATCTGAATAAATTATATCACATATACTGAAATTATTTTCAATTTCAAAAAAAATTTTTTTGTTAATCACAATAACAACAAGCATAATAATACATTTCCGTATATTATATCAAACATATCGATAAATATCGTTATAATTTATCTTACACGATTCCAATTTCAAAATCTACAAGTATCTAATCTTATAAGTCAGTTAATACCAAAATCAAATCTTCATTGAAATGAAAAAAATGAATTCTTCGATCGATGTTTTTCGTAGGTGGATCTCCAAAGAATGTAATCAACGAGTAGTTAAGAAGAATAATAGGAGTCATTTTTTATTGACCAGCACTTCGAGGCGACGGAGATGAGCTGACAAAGTGAGAAATGCCAAGGTGAAGAGGTCAAACGGACCTCACTATCGACTACTGGACACCTAAGATCCTCGTATACATTCGTCACTTGGCTACATGGATGTTTAATGCCACAGGTGAGTACCATTCCTAATGATTTATCGTTTCTTATATGTTTCGCCAGTGATTGTAAATAATTTTTCGCAATATTTTAAAATTATCTCAGTCTGCGTGTCAATCCGTTTCGAAAAATTTTTTTTTTTTCTTTTTCTTGAGAAAATGTTACTTCTCGAAGTTTGAGTATTTTATACCTGACGTTTAGTGTATCGCAATAGTAGTAAAATAATAGAAATGTAATATAGTTGAAATGTTCAAAAAATTGATAGAATATTTAAATGAATCTCAATTATAGAATATTATTCGAAAATATAGAGTTTCGAAAAAATAAAATATATAAGTTATGTCATACGATTAAATTAACATCATAAGAAAAGAGTAATCATATCATATAATTAAAGTATTTATTTCTCGAAAATCTTAATTAATTTAGTTATTTCTTCTTTCCTAATTCTCAAATCTTAAAACTACTAAAATTTTAATCTACTCACCTTCATCTTCCTTCGTTCCAGAAATTTTTGAATCTCATAAATTTCCTCTTTCCGATTCCATAATCATCAAACAATGAAAAGAAAGTTTCTTAAAACAAATACACGTGCTACAATATTATACCCTCCATTCACGAAGTCCGTATTCACATCACTCGATCCATAATCGTGAAACTGAAACTCGCGCTTCAACGATTCAACCCTTTGGAAAATAAATTTAATATTGAGAAAAACCAAAAACAATCACAAAAAGCAAAAGAAAAGATATTGTTGATCAACTGGAAGATCGAATAGAATCACACAAAATATCCTGTCCCGATCCGTGGCCCGGGAAAGACTGGCATTCTCGATTCTGCCCCTTCCACACGATCGTTCGTTCACATACACGTTCGCTCGATTCTTTGCACAGCTTCTACTCTATGCATTCGCTTGTCCATATATGTATATGATTTGAGTATGTGTACGAGATGCAGCAACGTGGAGGGGATTCGTGTTGCGTGACTCGACTCGGGGTTGTTCGTGGCACTAGGTGGCACAGAAATGATGCTTTTCAAGACGAAGACTTCTGAAACGAGAACGAAGCTCCGCCTATTAGAACACGCCCATGTTCCGTGCGCTCCACTGGAACCCCTGCTATCGTAAAGTTCCGAGGTCGATAGAGTGGGGGCAATCGCGATTCTCTGAAAGCGAATCACACGGGAATGGAATTTCTGCGGGCAACGTGTTTCTCGTAGCGGTGTCAACTCTTCCTATTTTATTTTCTTTTCTTTCTTTCTTTCTTTCTTTCGATTCCGTCTCTCACTTTCTATTTCTTTCCGCTTCTTTCGTCATCTTCTTTGAAGTCTTCTTATATTTTCTTATGAAGTTTTCTCGTATTTATAGTTTTCGTTCTTTTCCATTCTTTTTTATTCATTCTAGGATTATTTGTTCTTTCTTAGAGTTTTAAGAATCACGTTTTTTCTGGTCGTTTTTTCTTTTGTTCGTTTGAGAAATATTTTCTTTTTTTCTTTATTGTTCTCGTATTATACTTATTCTCAATTTTTATTAATTCTTATTTTGGAAATTACTTGCAGTTGTAATCAATCATTTCTTTATAAATTATTTATGTTTAATTGTTTATCACGTTTATAGTTAAGGAAATATGCTTTAAAAAAAATTCATATACATATTGATATTATTCTGCTTTTATAGAATGTTGATTATTCCGCTACATATACATAATCAATACCTCCTCGATTTCCTGAAACATTAACACCTGTATGTGACAATCAAGTGATTACGTGTACTCTTCGAAAAATTATCCATCAATCATGCTCATAAAGTTTTTTTTTAATAATCGATAATATATATCAAATGTCACGTATTGGAAATTACACAATTCATGAATCATGCAAATCACTTCGAGCAGGAAAAAGAATAATTTTATCGTTTTATTGTTTTCGATAAATGATTTTAATACAATTGTCATCAATAATACAATTTGTAAATCATATGTCTCAATATATAATTACATCTAATTACATCTATCATAGAGAAAGAGAATTTCTAATTATTATTCTAGTAAGTAATAATTATATATAATTATATATAATTAATAAACATTTTATAATCTACTTTATAGATTTATAAAGTCCCTAGTCACAGAAAAAAACACTAGATCAGAATAGTATCTATGATTAAAAAACTTCTGTTCTCTAAAGCAAGATCAAAACTTGTGACTCGGTTAAGCGTTTAGTTACGGTTTACCCTCAGACGGTCCACTATCCCCTTCCAGCATATTTACGTGTGGATATATATTTTATATTCCCTCCGTTCCTTTTTATTTTCGATGAGTTTGGGTTCTCGAGGAGGTTCGAGCACCTGTTTGTATTTCTGCTCCGCCGACACATAAATCATTCTCGAATGGACTAACGCCTTTTATCACTGCTATATCCCTCTCCCTTGCATCATCCTCTTCTATCGAAATGATGCGAGTAGATACATAGACGTATATATACGAGGTCCTAGATTCGTATACGCCCACACCTAAAATGAATATGAATTTTTTTTTCGGTTTCGGAACCCGAGGAAAACTGTCAAACGGATTTTCAGCTCTACCGTCTTTTTATTGCCATTCTATCGATGTGCGCGCGTCATGCCCGTGCATTCGTAAAATCCATTATTTCTTGAATTATATGCCTCGAAAAGGAAAAAAGGTATCGATAGAAATAAGAGTTTGTACGCTCGGATTACGTCCATCAGATAATCGTTTAACATATTTGCTATCACATATCATATCCTTGTTCATTCGACGGATATTACTTTAATTTTTGATGAAATTTTTATTCAAAATGTTTATGATATAATAGTTATAATGGCATAAGCAATTACATTTATTCATTAAATTATTTTTATTTTTTTCATATTGTATAAAAGTATAATACTAACCTATAAAGAGGCTTCAATCGGTGTTCATATTTATTATCAATTCTAACATGTAAATACTGATTACTTTCAATATTCTTTTTTTAAAAATATCAAAGGAACAAGAAACGAATTCTCTTCATTTATCGTCACATTCCTCCAGTCTCCAAGATGTACCTAATATTTTCGAGATAAATGCGCGTTATATATTTTCAATGGAATCACGATACGCCCTCTATTTGTTAATATCATCGTAGACGCGTGTGCGCATGCTTGCGAATCTCGCGCGTGCAATCGCAACGTGATACGGACGTATAGGTTAAGTGTGTAAACGTTCACGCGTGCGAGAAGAAGCAACAGGGGCCATGGTACCCGCGATCGGCAGGATATGGGCCATTAGTAACGCTTACCCGGCATAAAGCGAGAAAAATGGCGGTCGAATTATTCCGCTAGTGGGACCGAAAACGAACAAAGGTCCCTACCTCGCGAGGACACGCGGAGGATCTTTCAAAAAGGAACCACGGGGTTCCAGCGATGCCGATTCTTACTAAGGGGACAACCGTCGCATTAATCGATACTATCGAGAATCTTGTTTCGCGATCGATGTCTCTTTCTCTTTAAATAATAAGTGCATACATCGTTTATCACGATAATTATTATATATATATATATATATATATTATAACTTTAATCTTAATTCTTTTAAGATTATCAAGAAAATATCCTAAGATAATTTTATAGATATATTGTAACAAGGTTATAGTATAGTAAAAAAAATGTTTTACTATTACTATTATGAATTGATGTGAATAGATACATTTGAGAATAAAAATAAAGAACTTTTCAAAAATTATTTTTCACTAATGAATATAGTGTTGAAAGTTGCTGTGGAACATAATATCCATTTGCAAAAAATATTTTTTAAAAATAACTTTTAATAGTTTTATTTTCAAATAATATTTGTATTTTATTAATCGAACATTTTTCCATATATGTAAATTAGCAATGTAAACGATATTGTAACGATAACAACATTGACAAAATAAAAAAGAATGTGAAAATCGTGAGAAACGAGGAAATGTAAATCATGTTTAAAAAGTTTCTCATTTTCTACCGAATATTCAACACGCTGGAAGGGAGTCCAAAACTCGCGGTTTCTCTTCAAACATTTTTCGAAAAATTTTCCAACGTCCAACCGGAATTATCATGATAAAAGTGGTCGTAGAGACCTGTTCACATTCAAAATCGAGGAGGTACATTGTCGCATACAGCCCTCGATACCTTATAAAAGAATACAAATTCGAAAAAGCAGTCTGACATGTCACTCGCATTGGTAACCACCTGCTGTGCAAACACGCACTGTTGTCAAAATCCGACCACACCGTAACCGACTTTCTTTCTTAGATACCTTCACATAGAACACTTGAATTTAAAGGGAACACTGATAAACCTGGCCTCGACCTAGTCTTGTATTGGCTGAAATATAAAACATTTTGTGGTTCTAATTTGATGAAGTGAAAATATTTACGATTCTCAAAATTTTTTAACGGAAAGACTACAAGATAATATAATAGAATTTCAATATTTTATTAATAGTACATATAAACATTATTTCGTTATCTCAATAATGAAGTATCATTAGCATAACAAATAATAATTAATAATGTCTAAATCAAAAATGGGAAATAAAATCTCGCAAATACAAAAATTTCATAAAAAGAGCACTTTCCAACACTAGTCGAGTTCATTAGCCAGTAACCGTATCGTTAACCTTCGTTAGCATATCCACGGCATGTCTGCGCGAATTCGAGGAATTGCTTCACAACCGGAAATTTCGCGAGATATTTATGTACAGGTGGTACAGAGGCCTGCAACTGTATCACCACGGTATAGTCCTGTAATTTCGGAATTTCCACTTTCAGAGAAGCATGGTAAAGTCGAAGAAGGAACAGGATGGAACGAGGGACTGGAAAGGAGTATATACGCAACTGTAGCAGCTTCCCCAACGTATCTCTCATCCTCACGCTCTCAGCTTCCTGCTCTGTGATCTCAGCCCGTCTGAGTTTCATCCCTCTTCAAGTTAGCTAACAGCAGGATCCTGCACAATGTAGTCGTGATTGCAAATCCGCTCGTTATCATCAAAACTGCGCCCAACCTAACGAAACCCACCCTCTTGCCTCTTCTCTCTCCATCTACTTGATTCCTCTCTTTTCATTTTTCTTCTCTTCACCTCGCCTGGACCGTTTCTGCGCCCTCTATCTTCCGTCACTTCTTTAACACGACCAAGTAAATACTTTTCAAAAAGACTAAAAAGATTTTTTAATATTTTTTTCCTTGATCAGGAATTCGAAAGTTTACCTATATTTGTGCTTCTCAACAAAAGACATATATGCTTTAAGATATAATTTGAAACTTATAAATAAACCATTTATAATTATTACTAAATAAATAATTATTGAAATATTATTATTATTAATACAAATAATAAAATAAACTTGAATTTAAAAAAAATCTAAAATTTCCAACATTGATAATATAATGAGTCTAAAGGTAACTCATTAACGTTAATTCTTTCATCGGGACTTTAAGAACTTTCGTTGGATTTGAATCCACTGGTGAGATTCAAGATAAATACAATACAATAGTTCAATTGTTCGCAACAAGGTCATTGGAACGTCGAAATCAGAAGTATAGGAAATGATTGATCTTTGAGAAAGAAAATCACGACACAATAAAAGAAACAGTTTTGATAACGGATGCCGATCATTCTTACTCACCTGTAATAGCACAGGGTTATTTCGTCATTGGATAAGAATGTCATGAGTTTTCTTACCGTATCCCGAGGGATATGTCACGCTTGAGATCTATAATGTTTTCATAGTTACGGTACAACTTTCTTCGTGTCACTATGATGGGTCGAAAAATGATTTCTTAACAGTTATATGAAACTTAAAATTTGAACTTGATTTATTTATATTTGATACTTTTAAATATGATTTATATGAATAATGAATATGGAAATGAATATTATGAATATACGTTTGCATCTTTTTGAGAATATCATTAATTATATCTGAAGTCATAACCTCATTAAGAAGTTAAAATTTTTGTCAAAAAGAAATTCACATAGATTGTTAAGTTTTATCGAAACATTCTTTCAAATATTCTAAATTACATGGCACGTGTTAAACAAAATCATAATCTTCATTTTCCATTATTTATTCATCTCATTTACCAATTATACTAATAATACATATATACACAAATCTTAACCTGTCTTACATAGTATACATAACCACGAGCACCACCTATCGTTGCTTTGACAAAGGAGAATCATCATTAATCCGAAACACAGTTCACATTGAATACAAGTGCAAGTTTAAGCGCATAGTGTACGCGTATCTCGTTTCGAATTTGTGGGGTCTGTATGATCAAACGTCCCGAGGTTTACGACGATATACGTATGCATATACGTT